CTGCCCCCTAGTGGGGCAAGCTCAGCGAGAGCAGCGGAGTGCGGTCCTAACAGGGCCTTTAAAAACCGCCTTTTTCCGGCTGCGACCACGTCGCCGGCCTCCCACTGCCTCGCGAGAGGACCGCTGTTGTGCATCACGACCATTCCCTCACGGGATAAGTCGGGGTCAAAGTGACCGAAAGCCACCTCGGGACCCTCAGCCACCGGAACCTGGTTGCTCTCGAGGGTCACCTCGGTTTCCAACGCCGCACAAAGGCTGGCCTCGACACGCAGCTCCGTCAGGTCAGTGAGGAAAGTCTCTCGCTGGAGCTCCAAGCGGGGCAGAGTAAGGCCCAGCTTGTCGAACCGATGTCCAGCGTCAGTCACATGATGTTGGAGCCCCTTAGGGCCGATGGTCGGCAGCCCCAAAACAACTCCTGGAAAACCTGCCGAGTCAGCGGGCATCACTTTGAGCCTGACCGCTACTGACTGCGGTGCTCCTTTCCCCACCGGGGTGAAGAGGAGCCTGAGGATCACATAGAATTTCGTTTCTATGGCAGTCCCCTTTTTGAATCCTAACATGGATTGAGGATCCTTAGAAAAGTAACCGATTTCGCGGATTGGACAGCTTCGGTCACCAGCTGAACTTTCCTTTCGCTACGTCCGCAGCGGTGCGCTCGTATATCTCCGCGAAAAGCCACTCAGGCAAAGACCCGCAAGTCGCTCCCGAGTCCAGCAGAGTCACGAGCTCCACACCCGCGCAGCTGGTGCGCGTTTGCGCGTTGTAGCCTGGCGACGGGGCTGCGGCCACCGTCTTGAGGTCCTTCGGAACCTTCGCCAGAGACCCAGGCCAATGACGCCACTGCCTAGTGGCCGGCTCAGCCACCTGCAGCGAAGAGTCGTAAACCACCGCCCCAGCCTCGCCCGGGGTACTCCCCGACAAAACCTCGAACAGCGGATACACCCTTTCGTCAGAACCCGAGGCTCCATTCCTTGCCTTCTCCTTCTCCTTCTTTTTCGCTGCTTTCTTCTCCTTGGCCGTGAGGGTCTGGGAGGCGTCCTGCTGCGTGTTGGCAGCGTCCTTGACGTGGGCAAACTTGCACTTGTCACCATAGGTGCAACGCCCTTGGGCGAAGAGGCGGCACGGTTGTTTCTCACCGGAAGCCGCGCCTCCTTTGCCCTTTCCTCCTTTACCTCCTTTGTCCTTGTCCTTACCTTTGCCACCTCCCGGGGCGGAGCCACCGGTACCATACTACTGGTCCTGAGCGGCAAGAGTGTGGTGCCTCGGCCGATGAGAGCCGTCCTTGATCCCCACGGCAGCGCAGAGATTGCAAACAGCTCCTGTACGACCGAATTCCGCGAGGAGGGCCTCGGATTCGCCGCGTTTCTCAGCTGCTTTCCTCGGGCAGAGCGAAGTGATGTGCCCGGGATTATTGCAGTGCTTGCAGCGATCCCCAGTACCACTGGGTAGTCCCACCGTTTGCGCACGCGTGGCATCCGCCCCGCCGTTCCCACTTTCATTTTTCTTGTTTTTTGGGGTTTTCGGGGAACGCGTGGGTTCAGCCTCGC